ATAGATTTTCTTTCCTCCGTGAGGTCCAATGTTGTAGTAGGCTGTTGAATGTGCATTTGGACAAGGCCCTGGTCAAATCTGAGTTTGTTTGCACCTGCTCTTTGTGGGCAGTTGGGTGACCCTCAGAGAGCCCTTTCAACTTAAAATCATCTATGCTCATTAAAAGCAAGTACAGGCAAGCTTTAAAAACTGCTGCTCTGTCTTAGGTTTTAATTAATCTAAGATTTCTTAGGGTTTGTCTTTGTTTTTCCTGTAACCATCAACAATAATGTGAGTTCTGTGACTTTATACTTTTTTTAACTATTAAAAAGCTGATCCTCCATTCATTACAACACTATTTTTTTACCGGCACTGTGAGCTGCGGCACAGTTGGCTTCATGTAGGAGCAAACTTGTTAACAAACTTATCCATATTTAACCACATAAGAGAAACTGTAGCTGACAAAATACAGTTGCATTTGTATCAGCCTGCAGACTAAATTGGCCATCTACCTCTTCAGGCATAATCTGTTTGCATCCGTGATTTATTTTTTTCATAGTGTCCCATGTGGGGAGATGTTTTGTTGTCTGATGGTCTGTGGAATCTGCTGTATTTACAGGAATACAAACTCTGAAATTACTATTCTAAAATTGCAATGAATCAGGACTTCAACATTTGCTGGTGGGTTTAAATTAATAGAAGAAAGAAACAGGATTTGTTGGACTTTCATTCTTGGTCATGTTCAATAAACTTAACAATAAACCCTTCTGATAAGCCAGCTTTAAACTAGTTTCATAGCAACTGCAGTGTTTCTCTTGCCCACCTGAACAAATTATTAGACACTTGAATTGGACCATTTGGGTTTTTAAGATGACAGTAAGCTTCTATACATGGCTCCCTAATGTAAAGATAGCTAACTTTTGATGCTGGATTCCAGTCTGACATGAAATGGGGCAGTCTTTCACTAAGTCTCATGTGGCTGTAACCATTTAAAATTCTTTGCCCTTGAGGACTATTTAATCTTGAAAGCAGTATGCAATGGATGATCTCAACCATATTTATATCATCTTATGTACTCAGGCTATTTAAATCTGTATTGGGTATGTTGGTAGTACCAGATGGGTTTGAATAGCTTTTGCTGTAAAATGAAAATTAATGGCAGTAGACAGGCAGGAACCTTCTTCTGGCAGTATTTCAGCTGACCTGTCCGTGCCATTTCTCCCATAACTCCATTTATGGGGAAAATGGGTTCCCTCCTGTTCTCAGGCACGCACTCCCACTCCAGTACATGCTCAGCCTCCTCTGGATCTCTGGCTGCTCCAGCACGGAGCCAGCCATGGGGCAGAAGGCATGGGGATTAAACATAGACGACAGCAGTGAAGAAGCACACTGGAGCTTTAAGCTCTCTGAATTCAAAGGGCCACAAAAATGATCCGAGGGCTGGGACACGTCTCCTACGAGAGCAGGCTGAGAGAGTTGGGGTTGTTCAGCCTGGAGAAGAGAAGGCTGCCAGCCTTCCTATAGGAAGGATGAGGACAATCTTTTTAGCAAGGCCTGTTGTGACAGGACAAGGACTAATGGCTTTAAACTCAAGAAGAATAGATTTAGACTGGATATAAGAAAGAAATTTTTTACAATGAGGGTGGTGAAGCACTGGCACAGGTTGCCTAGAGAGGTGGTGGAGGCCCCATCCCTGGCAACATTCCAGGTCAGGTTGGACGGGGCTCTGAGCAACCTGATCTGGTTAAAGCTGTCCGTGCTCGCTGCAGGGGGGTTGGGATAGATGACCTCTAAAGGTCCCTTCCAACCCAAAGCATTCTATGAATTTCCCAAATTACAGCAGAACTGGCTGCTGAAGAGGAAACAGTCACCTTTGAAGCTGAGACTTCCTTACCACTGAGACAGGTCCTGCTACAGCACTGTGGAGGAATATTTGACATGCACGGGCTGTTAGACAGGCAAACTCAAAAGCACTGTGTGCTATTGTTGTTTCATATCTTTATTTTTGGCAAGCGGCCACATCTCTGTCAGAACACAGTTAGAGGCTGCGTGTGCATCTGGAATCGCGTCCAATTCAGTTCTTAATGTGGCCCTTAGTTTTGAGCTAAACCTTTTCCATAAGGTGGCCAGGCATTGCATATAGGAAGGCCATCCCCTTTCTCCTTTGCAGCAAACTGAGACATACATTTCAGAAGAAGTCTATCTCACTTGCTAATTCAGTTTATTTGTCTCAAGCTGCATAAGCATTTACTTAATGATGTGCTCTTTATTACTGGGGAGGGAATGTGGAATCCTGTATTTTTGAAGAAATCTTCACTGAGATTGCTGGTTGTGAAGATGCAAGTAGGCTGGCTGATTGTTGTCCGTTTAGCCTGGAGAAGGGAGTATGTTTTGGGTGGAGTGTTTAGAGGGCACATATTTCCTCTGCTTAATTTGCTTCTGGAGAGGTATTTTTAGCTTAAAAGCCTTTAAATGTCAGGAGGCTTGGAAATTATATTAATAAATTGGAAAAAAACATTTTTATGTTCTTACTTGCAGTTCAGATTCTGTTTTAGGAAATCTTGCAATGTCTTAACATTGCTTAACTATTTCTCTGTGTACTGTATGATAGAAACTTAGGATCACTTGTGTATACAGCACTAAGCCTTCTAATTACAACACTAATAATTATAATTTAATCAAAGTTCCCCTTTCTCCACCTTCCCCCCTTTTTAAAGGAGGGGAGAGACCAAGCATAGAGAAGTAATGCCAGTTTGTAGCTGAAATAACAGCTAGAGAGAGTGGGTTTCACACAGGGAAATCAGATTGGCTTGGATCATGTGTGTTTTTTTTTTTTGGGGGGGGGGGGGGGGGGGGGGGGGAAGTTAGGGGTTTTTTGGTTTTTAGGGCATTGCAAGCACATTTTAAGTTTAACAGCTTCTTAGGGAGGATGATTTTAAAAACCAACCGAAAAAACCCAACCAACCCCAAATAAAAACCAACCTGTCCTGGAGAAGAGGGAAAAAAAAAAAAGCAATTGTTTTGTGTTACTTTAGCTTCCTCTTTCTCTTTAGAGAACATCCTGGCCAACATTTTGTTCTTTTAGTGTGTGACTTGACAAGGGTGCTCAATTGTTTTCTGATGTATGGTGTGTGTGTACATGAGGTACAGTGTGTGTATGGCAGGGCTCTGGATTCCGGATGATAAGACCCCTGTAAACACCCATCTTCAGTGGAGACAAAATTATTAACCTGTTAGCTTTATATATCCAACATAGACAAAAATGTAGTTGATGGAAGAGAACTTTAAGTTATGTTTATTTTAGATGTCTACCGGTCTGGCTTCAGGTTAGTGCCTATAGCATGTGAATTTCTTGAGCCTTTAGGCTGATAAAGATGTCACCGTGATCACAGCAGGCTTATATTTCTTTTTCCAGATAAGAAAGGAAGAAATAATTTCATGTCCCTCTGGCTATCCCTGCAGTTGCAAGCAGTAGCTTAATAGCTACCAAAGTATCTCTTCTCCCTAAATAGACCATAATCTGCAGGAAAGTTTTGTAACTTCCTCAGGGATGTCTAATGACTGTGGAGGCAATGATCCTTCAAATTATAAAATAACTGAAAACTTGGTCTTCCCTGCATCTTATCATGTGTCTGTGTTGAGCAAGTGGTTTGTGAATAATCTGTTCCTTCATTTTGAACAGAAACAAGTTGAAAGTTGAGCTGTTTATATCCTTGTATGTACAACAATAGCAGTATGACATCTTGGAGTATATTGCAAACTTCTTAACAATAAAACTGTATCAACACATCTAATTAAGCCTGGCATTGTCTTATTGTTGCCAGAACTAAGATTAGTACCAGACCTTGTCAGCGCTAGCTCACTTTCCATTCATGGTAAAAGCCAAACCGGAGGTGGGCTGTCTCCTTTGCAATGACTGTCCCTCCCGCTGCATCTACCCACAGCTAACTGGGAGCGCTCCTAATGCCGCCGGAGCGGTGGGTGGGAGTGTGGGCATGGGTTCCCCTCTGCATGTCGGGCATGAGCCTGCACACCCAGGCACGGCCACAGTTCCATAGTCCTTTAACCGTCTGAGTTAAGAGCGATGTTCCCCAAAAGTTTAAAGAGCTGGAGTGAGGCATTTTAAATTTACTGTGTTATACGAATGCATAAGTTATGGTGCTTGGTGTCTATTTTTCACCTCGAACTTCCAGTGGCTGTTACTCAGTTAAATTTGCTGATGTGTTGATATATTGTGTGAATACCTGGCCTTTACTCAGTGCTATTTTTTACATTCTCTCATATTTGCTCTGCATTATGAATTGGTCATCTGTCCTCTTAATCTTTTTGCAGTGAAACCCTTTGCATATCATTTATGGTCATTGCTTTTGCTAACTGTGCTGTTTCTTTTTCTCCTCAGAAAGTAAGCTGGTATTAGTCCAGCTGAAACGTAATTGTAAAGGGTATGTTCTGCTCTCAATCACTATCAGAGTAGTCTCAAATACACTCAGGAATATTAATCACATAGATGTTTTCTTTATTCCTATCAGATGCCCAGGTTAGCGCATATAAATGTGGGATCTGTTTATTTCTTGATCTCCTGTATTTTGCCAACTCGTATACTGCAAATCACTTTGTTCTGACAGCTGGATTAAATGTCCTTTGACTCGAGGTCTTATGGCCTCACTTGCTGTGGTTTCACAGCCACAGACCTAAGGAAGGGCTGCAAAGAATCTGCTTCATCCCTTGTGTGAAGCTTGCAGAGCAAGCTGGGCTACGGAGAGAAGTCACCGGAAGAATACTTGGTTTTGGCTAAGGCTAACTTTCTGCCTGCTCGCTCAACCCTATGAACAGGCTTGTGCAAACACTGTTGCTCTTGTAGATACAATAGAAAGGTGAGCGGACCCCAAAATACTGTCCTGATGTCAGCTTAGTCAAATGCTTAATCTTTTGCTTTAGTTGTGGATTATAAAGGCAGTAGTAAGGTCATTCATGCAGCATATTTCTTGAAGCTGACTGTAGTTATCTTCCTCCGTACACAGATGGGCTTGGGCCACGAGCAAGGATTTGGTGCCCCCTGCTTAAAATGCAAGGATAAGTGTGAAGGATTTGAGCTTCATTTCTGGAGGTAAGTGACACCAGATGTCTCTTAAGCTGTGACTCAGCACTGCAGATCTTGGCATGTGTATGCCAATGTGTAAGTAACTGCTTTTGTTCTCTCTTTCAATTAAACTGTTCAGATGCTTTAAAGAAGCTGTGCCTAGGTTCAGGGCCAGGGCTTCTCAGATGCATTACAACAGAGTGTTTAAATATGTAATCACTTACAAACATACGTTTCATCTGCACTGAAGTCAATGGTAGTACTTCTACTGAAGCATTTGCTTTAGCTTAATAAACAGTTGAAGTAGGTTTGTAAAAACATCTGTAACCCTACAGTAAGAGAGATGACAGGGAAGGCATGTGCTTTATCTCAATAATAAGATGCTTTCTCAGCACCTGACCAAAAACATAAGCTTTGATCTGAGACTTCAGGTAAAATTATCTATGTTGAAAAGATGTTGAAACTTTGTATACATCTACGAATGACTTAGAGGGGAATGAAGTGTCTTAATTCAAGTAAACTAGATAGTACTTGGCCTTGGATGGTGCCCTGTTCCTAAACCAGTAAGAGCCGATGATAGTTGTAGTAAATAGTCTATGCTGTTACTTCTGCAGAAATTTTGTATTACATTAAGACTGTTCTTATCTTACTGAAACCTTAAATTATATGTCTAGCTATCTCACTTCACTGATTATACTGGGTGTGCTTTAAGATATAGCTTAGTGATTCTGATTTATTTTTAAAAAAAAAATCCCTTTTAAAGGGATCAGCCTGCAAAGGACAAAAAATAAATAATTGTTAGTAGTGCTAGCAGTGACAACAATTACATTTCACCAATGCTATTTAGCTACAGTCATAACTATATCTGCAGCAGGGTTTTATTTTGTGGGGTGGGGGTTTTTTAAGGTAGTATTTACATCCCAGCCAGAGTGGCATCAGGTGCAGATAAGGCCTAGGAGATTTTACATCTTCACCTAAGTATTTGACTGCAGCTGAGACTCAATTTAGAAAATAACCAGAGAAACAGACCACAGCAAAAACTTGCTCTAAGTTGATGAGGATATAGCTTCTCAGTTATGTATCTGCAATATATAACTATAGAAACTACTTACAAATAATGAAGTGGAACAAGAAGTGGTAATACACAAATAAACAAACATGATCATCTAAAGATAGAAAAAATTAATGTATGGGAAGACTCAATATGCACTCAGTCACTGAGGGGACTCATGTAGGGGTACTAGAAAAATAGAACACAGTTAACATATGTAGGTAATTCAATAAAACAGAATAAAAGTTTTGCAGGAGTAAATAATGTTGTTTATCCATGGTTAGATGAGAAACTGTCACTTCCTACTTGAGAGAAAGATCTTTGTTTAGAGCCACTGTGGGGAAAACACAAGTTGGGGAGAAAAAAGGGCTAGGCCAGTTAACTTTTTCTGAACTCCACCTTTCTGTCCTCTTTTTCTTAGTTCCTATTATTAAGAGACCTTCTAATTACTAGCTTATGATTCAACAGGGAAGAATTTGGGGTAAAAAGACATAAAACACCTGAAGTTATTTAGTCATGTAATAGTGTGTTTACTGAGCTAGAATGTATCCGCTTCTGTGTATATATTTGGAGGTTTTGTGTGTGTGGTTTCTTCATACACATTTCACTGTGTTCCTGTGGTTAGGGCTCATTCTGCCAGGTCCTGAATACATAGCTTGTCAGAGCACTGTCTGTCCTAGAAAGCAAGAGCCTGTAGACAGCAGTGGATTAAAAAGCAAGAATGAAAGCTACATAAAAACAGTGGCAATTTAGTTAAGATTAAGGTTTAATTTGGAAATCTAGTTGATACAGGATCGACCAGGTAAACAAGGTGGCTAGAAGTAGTCTGAGAAGCATCATCTAGGTGTCAGACAAATGTGGCACATACCTCTGAAATAGTTGAAAAGTTAGCCATTGAGGCAATTCAAGAATGGGTTAGAAGGCAGCTGTTTCTCCAGCAGAGCTGCTACTGGGGACAGGAAGGGTGTGAATCTGAAGTCTGAAATCAGTTTTGTGTAAACAGTTTTCAAAGGAAAAAATGTATTAATATGCTTCACATGATACAGAGATTTGGGATTCCACCACTTGAACAGAAAGGGATGGATCCCTAATACCTGTTCACTTAGTCATGTTAGCCTTAAAAGCCGAAACTTTCTATTTTAAGTGGAAACAAACTATAGCAGACATGGACAGAATATAGTCTTTATAACATGAATGATCAGGAGCAGTTCAAGTTTAATCGCTAATTTCACTATTGTGTCTCTGTGAAAGATAAGTGTTGAAGTAGGGATTGTAGTTAAAGTGTTACAAGTTGGGAAGAATAATTGTGGTGGGTTGACTCCAGCCAGCAGCCGAGCACCCACACAGCTGCTCGCTCCCTGTCCCCTCACAGAGGGGTGAGGGAGAAAAAAGGTAGAATAAAAGTGAGAAAACTCATGGGTTGAAATAAAGTCAGTTTAACAGGTGAAGGAAAGAGGAGGGAGGAAAAAAAAAAAAAAACCAAGTGATGCAAAGGCAGCCACTTGCCACCTCCCACCAGCAGCCTGATGCCTAGCCAGTCTCCAAGCAGTGGACACTTCGGCAGTCGGAAACCCTGCCTTCATCTTCTACTCCCATCTTATTGCTGAGCGTGACATTACATGGTATGGAGTATCCCTGCGGCCAGTTTGTCAGCTGTGCACGCTCCCAGCTTACTTGCGGAGGTGGGTATAGAGTCCAAAAAAGAGAAAGCCCTGGCACTGTGCAAGCACTGCTCAGTAACAGCAAGTGCTATCAACACTGTTTTAGCCACAAATCCAAGACAGCACCATACAGGCACTGTGAAGCCAGGTGCCTGCATGCCAGCTAGACCCAGTAGGGTAAGCAAAGCTGTAGTTGTGTTTGCAGCATGGTCAGGCTGCAGTCCTTGCTGTGATCTGTGTAAGGGTGACACTGCCCTCTCCTGGGTGGAGCTGAGGAGCTTCAGCAGATATCTAATTCTTCTTTCCTGGTCTAATACGTGAAAAGTGGTGTACCTCAAAGAGCTAGGTGTAATTTCTCTGTGTGCTTCTGTACAAAAGAGCATCCATGCTGCCTTTGGGGAATCAGATCAGAAAGTACATGAAACAATCAGAGTATACTCTGTGTAAAACCCTGCTGCCAGACTGGAGTTGCTACACCATTCTTCTCTATACTGGGAGCAGGTGGAAGATACCTCTTCTGGAGTGGCAAGTGCTCTTTAAGCACTTTGTGCTATAATTCTTGGCACAGTGTGTGGGATGGCTATATAGGTGCAGAACTGTTAATTTGTGCTAGTACAGAAATGGTGGTGAACAAAGCCCTTAGTAAAATTTGTTCCTAACCTTTGAAGTTTGAAAGCCTGGGTGTTGTGAGCTGAACGCAAAATTAATACAATGAGAGCCACGGTCTACAATGGTAGCTGAACAGTAAACAATTAACTGCTTTATCTTAGTGTGTTAATAGCTTTTGCTTTTAAAATTGTCTTCAGAATCATGCTTCTGTCCAAGTGTAGCAGCAGCAGTGGGCAGAATCTTCTCAGTTCAGGTGTTCTTTTAGACTACAAAACTGCCTCTGCAAAATTAGCAGGGCAGGCTGGCTGTAAGAGACTGCTACTTAGATAAATGTTTGCTCTTAGGGAATGTGTTTCCCACTAGAGGGAGGTGTGGAACAAGAGTCAGAAGTTGCTAAAAGCAGGAGGGAAGGTTCTGATTTATCTTCATCATATATATACTTCCCGTATTGGCAAACCGCACCAGAGACAATTATCAAGATATTAAAAAGCTTTTGGAGACAAGAATCTTAAGCTTGGGAACGACTATTTTCAGCATCTGGCTTCTTTGCACAGATACAATCCCTGGAAGGCAGAGAGAGCTTTAAGTTGGCTTTTAACATTTTCTGGTACTAAGGCTGTCAGGCAAGTACTGAGGCACAGTTCAAAGCATTTGCAATTACTATAGCTGCAATAATAGCAAGAAAATGTAACAGAAGGAATCATGGGAAGAGGTTAGTCTTCTGTGTGGAGGACACAAGGCTCAGGACTTGCCAGATATTTGTTGAGGGCTCATCTGTGCTTGCAGCTGCCTCCTCCTGTCATTAGGAACCATGGCAAAGCCAGTGTAGGAAGAGTCATTGTCTGAATTATTCTTCCTCTCCATACACCAAAACATAGAAAAGTAGGAGGATTGATGACATTTGGTTTTGGAGAAAGAACTGTAAGTCTTTGATCCTTGCTGTCAGTAGAAATCCAGGACATGGGAATTTGCCAGCCTGGGAAAGAGGATGGACTCTGCTTACGTTCCTTCTTCCTCTTTCTACCCACACAAGACCTGGAAGGAAGACACAATCTACTAAATCTGTCTTTTACAGTGATATGCAACTTCTAATTCCACAAATTTTGAATCTTCCTCCCTATCTTCCATGTTTTGAATGAGAAAAATTTCCCAAACTGCTGAGAATTGACTGGAGGAGCACTTCTCTCCTGTGTTGACGTCCTGAGAGCTGTGAACACATAAGCAGGAGTGTCTAATACCTCCTTCAGCAGGGATCTTGCTGAATATCCTCAAGTGAAAGGAAAATCTTTTTGACAATGCAGATGGAGAGAACAAGAAATTCTCGCTTCCTGTCTTCTAGATGGAGCCAAACCAGATAAATCTAAGTCTATACGTATACAGAGACTTATATACACACATGTATATAGTAGCAACTGGTTTTCCTAGCTCATGTGAGGTGTTTGTTTTAACACCAAAAGTAAAAATTAAGCATCACTTATCAGACAGACTTGTGAAGTGTAAGTTTGAGGTAATGGGACAGGGTCACTTCAGTAAGATAGCTGTACTAGAGCCAAAGAAATGACCAGCGGATCTTTTCTTAGTAGAAATAATTGGCCATATGCCTTCTGCAGAAGGAGCAGTAACCAATGAGCAGGACTCTGATGTGCTACTTAGTGGAAGAAGGTATGACTAAATTATAAACTGTAAATTGAAAACTAAATTGTACTCTGCAGGAACAGTTATGTGTGTAAATATCAATTGGATATCTTTTAGGACTGGAAATTATTCAAGAAAAGAGATTATAAATTAGAAGAGGAACAACTTTTTTCTGGCTGTTAGCAGTGTACAGACATCTTCATGTGGCTGAGTTCCAGGGGAGCCCCGAGGAGCAGCGGAAATGGCAACAGCCTCAGGGATTTTCCTGTGACTTACTGAGATATGTTGACATCATTTGTGACTCTGCATTCTCCACATTCTTTCTGGATTGTTTTCTCCTGCATTTGGAGACTTAATTTTCCACAAGCTCTAATGCCAGGGCCACCACAATTGTAATTTTGTAACATAGCCCCTGTAACAGCTTCTTGCAGACTGCATGTAGGCAAAGAGTCATTCATGTAATCTTGAAAGAACAAGGAGATAACATTAGACTGAAATGTACACAGTCAAATTCTTAATTTCAGTAAGTCCAGAGTGGCGGGAGGTTAGTGAGTATCTCATTCTTTTCAATGGAAGTATAAAGCACAGGTAGTTTTATGCCAGTTTTCACAGTGGGACCCAGGAAGGACCTGAAGACAAGTTGTATGCTTTCACTTCTTTGCAAGTATCTGTTCATCTATTTATCCAGACAACAGAAAATTGCTCACCAATACTTGGTTCTGGACATCAAGACTAGACTTTATTTGCATGAGTCTGTGCAGGTTACTTAAGAATGTCTCTGTTCACCAACATTATTAAATCACATCCTGTCAAGAGGCAAGACTAAAACTGGGGCTTACTATTGCCAAGTTGAAAAAGTGAAGAAAATATCTGATAAACTATTGTTCAAATAGACTAACTACTTGAATTAGTTATGTGTGCTGTGAGGCATATAGCTGCCCTTAGTCATTGATGTAATAATGAACTAAACCTGCAAAAAGTAAGGTCTGATACTGTCACCTAGTATTAGATATCAAAAAAAGACATGATTGAGAGTTGGTAACAAGGTGTACATATGCTTATATCTTAAAATATGAGAAAACTGAATATAAATTGCTTTATTAGTATATTAAATAGTCACTTAAGTATCAGCTAGGTAAAGGACTTGTGTAGGCTGTTGCTGAGCATCTTACACAATTTTATGTTCAGAGTGCTCAAGATGCACAGTACAGCGTTTGGGCTTAATGGGCAATACTAGTTCATGCTTGAATATTTTGGTACGCTGGGAGATTGCAAAGTGCTTAGTTTTTTACTAAGTGTCCAGATAAGTATTGACTGATATTCTTTGCATCTTTCCTGTTGTGGAAATGAGCTGGAAATCATACAAGCCATCAGGCTGCCTATTCTTTCACTTTAATTATTGATATCTGTAGGGTTTTTGTGTTGCAAAGCAGAGTCTGTTCTGCTTAGCACGCTATTTCACTAGTTGCTTTTAGAGTGGAGTGCCTTATTTCTATTGCAGCGTTAGCTATTTTTATTTGGAGTCTGCTTCATAACTTCGGTTACCATGACTTATGGTTGCTGTATAATCATATGACCAGGGTGGCATCCATCCCACACTGAAATGATAGTACCCCACATCATAAATGGGTCTACACATGTAGTACATATCTTCAGGGCTGGCTGTGCATTGCTTCATGTGACCAGTTACATGCAGGTCCTCCTTCTTCCTTCCTCTTCCATCGCCTAGTGGGCCTGCTGTACTCGGGGCGTGTTCTTGTCACATGCCTGTTAGATGCCTTAAGATAAGGTATGTATCTTGCCTTCAAGACTTTAGAAAGCAAGATGCAGAACAATGTTAAATTCCATGGGTTTTGGCAAGCAGGGTTGAGAAGCATTTTATAGGTAGGAGTTTTATGCTATTCACTGTGAGAAGAATAAAAAATGGGCTAAAATACTACTCATTCCTCTTCTGGATCGCTGCAGTTTGAAGGTTGATGTATTTTCTTAGGCTACAATAAGAATCTTCAGTTAACATCCAACTTCACTAATTTCCATATACTGTGGCTGACTGCTTTGAACTGAAGCTCTGGGGAAGCCATCAATAAATAGTAAACCAGCTTGCTAATCCAAGGTTCTGTTTATTATGTGTGAATTGTTTAATTATGCTTAAGGTAATAAATTGCTATCTAATATCCTTTAATCAAGGGAGTTCAAATGTGTTGTATATGAAAGAATACAATTTATATCTAAGTAAAGCCTTCTACCTTTTAAGGATGTTATCTGTGAAAATTTTTTGTACAGCATGTGCCAGAGCACCTCTGACTTGGTTCAGAGCAGTTTGAAAGGCTTTGCCCATATAAGCCTTTTGCTTTTCTTTCATCTTCTCTTATAAATGCTCAACTTTCAACAGAACTCAGTGCAATTGCACAGTATACATGGCTGTATGCATTTTTTTTCCTTTCAAGGAAATACTTGTTTCCACTTGATAGCAACCCAGTGATAACCAAATATGCATACAGTGAAATACATATGAAGAAAATAGTATAGTGTGTGTAACTTTGAGTGTATAAAGAGAACCTGAAAAACTAAAAGCCCAGATAAATGACTGCTGGGGGGATCACGTTGATGCGTTTATGTTAACTTATGGGTGACTACCCATAATAAATCTGGTAGGTGGGTGATAATGGACATGTGTGTGATCAGTACTGAGATGTAACTGAAAGAATGATATAGAATCATATTCAAAATGCATTAGTGTATTTGACCGCTATCTATCTGATCATAATCTCTGTGAACAAAGAATGTAAATAATACAACAGAAGAAATAAAGAATATCCTCAAGAGGTGTTTGACATATTGCAGAATAACTTGTATATTCCCCAGTCAAAGCACCGAAAACAAGGTTTGGGTTCCCAGTGATGTTGTTACTATGCATGCAGCAGGTGGAAGGTGTCGTTTACAGCTGAGACTAACTTTGTTACTGTTTCCATAAATTTCAGAAAAATATGCCGCAACTGCAAATGTGGCCAGGAAGAACATGATGTCCTCACAAGCAATGAGGAAGATCGGAAAGTGGGGAAACTCTTTGAAGATACAAAATACACAACCCTTATTGCAAAGCTGAAGAATGATGGCATTCCCATGTATAAACGCAATGTAATGATACTGACTAATCCAGTGCCAGCCAAGAAGAACATATCCATCAATACTGTGACTTATGAGTGGGCTCCTCCAGTTCAGAATCAGACACTTGTAAGTCCAGCCCACTTTTTCTTCATGTTCAAGGCAAGACTTTATGGGAAATAGAGTAGTAGAGCTTACCGGAAGGATAAATTTGCCTCTTGTAGTCATTGTATGTGTACACCTCTTCTTTTCTTCCTCCTCAAAACTGAAAAGATGGTGCCTGTTTAATGAGTCGTGCCTGTGTCATCTTGCAGGTATGAATGCTTGTCTATGGAACTTCTTGAGAACTGGGAAGATGAGGTGTTTTTTAACAGACAGGATTAAGTGTTATCTGCTAAGTCCGTGGAGTCCCATTTCTGCAACCTGCCTTTTTTAGTACACTTGAAAAATTTGCATGGAGTGTGGGCTTAAAAGAAAAAAAATCTCATTGTTTAAAGTTAAGGGGAACACTCAGTCTTGCATATAGCTTTTACTGTATATGGTAAGAACAAAGTCAGTGTTGACATCTAAAAGAGCAACTCTCTTCCAGTATGTTGTCAGCTGAAGTAGATGAGATGGTAGATAGCCCTCTGAGCGTTTTGCTTCACTCTTCAAACTCTGATTGCTAATTTACTGTACTGCAGCATGTGTGATCCGTGCCGGAATCGTGTTATCTCTGACCTACCTCTCAAAATATCCTTTTTCAGTGAATTAATCAAACCTTGTGTATCTAAATCGACTGTTACTTAACATTCAGTTACCACTTTGATTTTTAGGCTTGTTCTTGCTTTATTAAAACTAGAGCTTTTTTCTTTATTTAGTTAGAATTATTCCTGCAATGGGCTCTGTGCACCAGACAAACTATTTCAGCTTCTACTTTTTACGGCTATACTGATGATCAGTAGTTTTAGATAGCTTTGAAGAGACAAGGTGCTGTGTAAATGTTAATTATTGTTTACTCTGAGAAGTAATAACTCTGTTCTGTAAAAGGCTTAAAAGAAAGCCTGTCTCTTACTCTGGGAAGAAGCCAATTAATGCATCTGCTGTATTTTATTTCCATCTACTGTGTTTTGGGAGCTTAATGTTTATGGAAAGAACCTTATTTTTGACAAACTTGACTGTCGCTAACAACAGCAGAGATGATTTTAGTCACGTGTTTGCTTAAAAGGATGGGTCTGTAGTTGAAGTGGTATCTGATATCTAATTCCTCCTGGTTCAGGCTAGACAGTATATGCAGATGCTACCCAAGGAGAAGCAGCCTGTTGCTGGATCGGAAGGCGCGCAGTACAGGAAGAAGCAGTTGGCTAAGCAGCTGCCTGCTCACGATCAGGATCCTTCAAAATGCCACGAGCTCTCCCCCAATGAAGTTAAGCAGATGGAACAGTTTGTGAAGAAGTACAAAAATGAGGCGCTTGGTGTAGGAGATGTCAAGCTCCCTGGTGAGGTGGAAACGAGAGCTACTGAGAAAAATGTGAACAATGGTGACAGAGGCACTTCAGCCGCTGTAGGAGCGATGGAGAACAAGTCCCCAGATCAGAAGGCATCTCAGTATGTAAGTATAAGAAAGGAAAGATAAAACAAGAAGGTATATTACTATCTGAGTGCTCTCTTTGGTTGTTTTAATCCAATTAACTTGTTTGTTAATTTGGAATAGTGAAAATCGGGGGAGAGAAAGAAAGAAGGGGAGCTGGAAAACTGAATGTCTGCACAGAACCCTGGTTTTTGACCATATTTAGTGCATTGCAATGAATAACTTCCTAAGTGACCTTTGCATCCTTGTTGCAAAAGCATGTTAGCTTGGAGATATACCATAGCAGGGTGGCTTTTACAGAATAATAATCAAGAAACTTGTGTAGACTCATGGACTAATTGCTACATTTTTCTCCTCTTGAAGAGTTTAGTTTAATTTTAGAAGCCTGTTTTCTCCTCTTGGAAGAGCACCAAAATTACCCACTTGACAAATTGTGTTTACAATTAAATGAAACTAAGAAATAATAAAGTAACACCTCGCCCTCCCACGTCCAACAAGCCAAGCTGTATAATGGCTTTTTTGACTAGCCTTCTCTTCATATTCAGATCTATTTTTTTTGATCTGTTTTCTTTGGCATTTGATTTCTGCCTTGTAATAGCTCAGCAAAAAATAAGGTATGTAAAATTACCCAGTTTTCATTGATATTTCTAAAACTATGGCCTTAAAGTATTTCTGACATAACTTGCTAACTTCTGCTGTGCATGTCTCTGCTACCAATTATGAATAGAAAATAGGGGTGGGATTACTGAAGTAACATCAAATTAGTTTAGTGAAGGTAGACCTTCACTTCAGAGTGGCAAAAGCTCCTGTAATTTGATTTCTAGAAATGTTGCTATTATGTATGAATCACAAAAATTGTTTCCAGGTTACATACAGAAAATTAATATACAAGTTCTAGATGGAGATAAAAGTTTGTTCATTAATACAGCTGTAGAATATGGCTTTCAGTGTTACTGGGGGGTGTTGTGTGCTGCTTTTGGTGTGGTTTTGTTGGTGTGTGTTAAACTGACACAGTATATTACTTCTGGTGTAATTCATATGCTGGATGCCAGGTGCCCACCAGAGCTGCTCAATTGCTCCCCTCCTCAGCTGGACAGGGAGAGAAAACATAATGAAAGGCTTGTGAGTCAAGGACGAGGGGAGATCACTCACCAATTACAGTCACAGGCAATATAGAATTGACTTGGAGAAATCGGTTCAATTTATTGCCAATCAAATCAGAGTAGGGTAATGAGAAATAAAAACCAAATCTTAAAACAACTTCCCCCCACCCCTCCCTTCTTCCTGGGCTCTACTTCACTCCTGATTTTACTTTTCCTCCTCCCCCTGAGTGACACAGGGGGATGGAGAATGGGGGTTGCGGTCAGTTCATCACATGTTGTCTCTGCCGCTCCTTCCTCCTCAGGGGAGGACTCCTCACACTCTTCCCCTGCTCCAGTGTGGGGTCCCTCCCATGGGAGACAGTCCTCCACCAACTTCTCTAGCATGAGTCTTTCCCACAGGCTGCAGTTCTTCATGAACTGCTCCAGCGTGGGTCCCTTCCACGGGGTGCAGTCCTTCAGGAGCAGACTGCTCCAGCGTGGGTCCCCCACGGGGTCACAAGTCCTGCCAGCAAACCTGCTCCAGAGTGGGCTCCTCTCTCTCCATGGGTCCACAGGTCCTGCCAGGAGCCTGCTCCAGCGCTGGCTTCCCAGGGGGGCACAACCTGCTTTGGGCACATCCCCCTGCTCCGGCGTGGGGTCCTCCCCGGGCTGCAGGTGGATATCTGCTCCACCGCTAACCCCCATGGGCTGCAGGGGCACAGCTGCCTCACCATGGTCCTCACCACGGGCTGCAGGGGAATCTCTGCTGCGGTGCCTGGAGCACCTCCTGCCCCTCCTTCTTCACTGACCTTGTGTCTGCAGAGTTGTTTTGCTCACATATTCTCACTCCTCTCTCTCTGACTGCAGTTGTTCAGGTTTCCCCCCACCCTTTCTTAAATATGTTATCACAGAGGCACTACCACCGTCACTGATGGGCTTGGCCTTGGCCAGCAGCAGATCTGTCTTGGAGCCAGCTGGCATTGGCTCTATCGGACACAGGGGAAGCTTCTAGCAGGGTCTCACAGAAGCCACCCTTGTAGCCTCCCCGCTACCAAACCTTGCCATGCAAACTCAATACAATATGGAATATAAAATTAACACTTAAGTTTTAGCTTTGAACATGCCTGCTTACCTTAATCAGTGATATGCTGTGCCATTTGGTCAACTGTAGCTACTTTCTAAAATTAGTTATTCGGTTATTTTTGCCATTATCTTGTCATGGAGATTCTAAGATACTAAGAAGTTATTTTATTGTGACTTGATTAGGTTGCTGTCACTTTGTGTAACCCAGCCTCTCCCACTGGGTTACTTTAGTTTCACTACAGCAATTCTTCACTTACCTCCTCAAAGACCTGCAGAAACACACACCTTGCATTGTACCCCACTGGCCAGCTGGCTTGAACTATGTTAACTCAAGGGCAAGAGGCACTCTGTCCTCTTGAGTAATTGTATCAAAAGGTGCTTCGGTTTTTTTGTTACACCTATTTATCACTTCCAAAGTTTTCTTTACTCAGACACCTGAGTATACTTCCTACTCTTTAGGCCAAGCATATCTCATCATTGTGCTCAGTGCTTAGGAGGCTTAGAAGTGTTTTACACTATAAGTGAATGTTTGAGCTGCTTACCTATTGTTAGGTACTGAGTTTACCCTGGGCTAAATAATCAGGGTTTAGATATATTATTTTTAAGTATTTTTTTGTCTGATTTCTGTCATGTGACTTAGTCTCAGCTATATGCTGTAGCATTATCTCAACTTCTTTTTTTGACAGTTCAAAATAAAACAATACAGAGAAGAGCTCTTACATATCTTGCAGAAGAATTGTCATCCTTGTCTACACCTTATCTCCATTAATGCTGCATCTTTGTTCTCCAAATTTTCTTGTATGTTGTCTTTCAGACTGAGTCTGAAAGCATGTGTTGCGGTAGCTGTGGTAAATAGAATCTCTTGAAAAAATAATTTTTATTATAGGAATGGATTGCAATTCTTTTAAACATTTAAAAAAAAAAAACAGGTTTCCACTATTAATATAAATATACTAATTGCCTCTGTTAAAAAAATCTATTTATCATGACTAAAAGCTGAATAACAGAAAAATGGATATTTGACATATTTTCATCTTGTAAAGCAGCAAATATCTTTATGCACCTTTTAATCACCTAGGCTGAGGGTGTTGCAAACAGTAGGTAAACTGTCTTGCCCTGATCTGGGTCCATACAACTACTAAACCTTCCAATTGACTCCTTTTGGAGTATGAGGTCTAAAGTAGGAAGAAGAGTCAAAAAGCGTTATATACATAATATATTTATACTTCCTCTTTCATGAGTTCCCCTTTCATTCTGTTCCAAGCTGTTATTCCTCCCTTTTTGATGTCTTTCTATGTGTATTTTGAAATTGCTTGTTGGAAACAAGTGTGGGGATCTAATCAATATGCCTTACAGCAAGACACTTTTTTTTTTTTTTAATAGATAGATATATATATACACACACACAATTGAAAACTGAGGCCATTTGTGGCTGGGCTTATAGTGATGTGAATCATAGAAAGAAAGCTTCCCAGGATGTTCAGCTCACAGACCAACTGGAGTGCAGGAAATGCCAAACTGGTGATTAAACTGTAGATTAAAATTTTTGTTTCAGTAACATAAACCACCTGCATTTTTTGACTTGATGACAAAACCCTCTCTGTAGGCAGGTATAGGGCAGAAGACTGACTATGAACATTGTGGAACTATTTGTAGTGTAGCTGTGTTCATAAACTTTGTAGTCCCTTTTCCACAATCACTCTCCCCATCCTAAGATCATTAATCACAAACTATTGGGCAACAGCCATGAATGACTAGCAGCTTTAAACAGAATGAGTTTGAAATAGTCACAATTTTTTTTTCTCACTAGTGATGCAGATATGGCTTGATCTTCTCATGACCTATAAGCACAGCCATTTTCTTGTCGTGTGTTCTAGTCAGTTAGCTTTGGAGGCTTCTTATTATTCTCTCTTTATTCTTCAGTACGTAAGGCTCATAGAACGTAACATGTATTTTAATTGTGTGTTCTTGTGGTTTTTTTAAGAACTGGACTGTAGTTGCAAGAATGTGAATATGGGAAAATACAGTAATCCATTTAAGTAGCACTAGTGCTATATCAGTAGAATGTACATCATCCTGAATTGCTTAGTTAAACCTGTATTGTGGCATGATGTCAAAGTACTATTTGATCATGGGAGTAAACTAATGTTCTAATTTCAGTCTGGGAAGGTGGTATTTATTAAATATGTCAGTAATATGTAATTGTTATAAATGCACCTCTTTGAAGATTTATTTAACTTGGTAATAACTTCTTTCCAGTCCTGCTATCGCTGCAAACTGAACATGAAAGAAGGTGACCCAGCTGTCTATGCAGAACGAGCTGGATACGACAAATTGTGGCACCCAGCTTGTTTTGTCTGTTGCACCTGCAGTGAACTTCTAGTAGACATGATCTATTTCTGGAAGAATGGTAACCTGTACTGTGGAAGACATTATTGTGATAGCGAAAAACCCCGCTGTGCTGGATGTGATGAGGTAGGAAATATCCTCGTCTTTTGTTTTAGCACGCAAGTTTGCTCCCCTGAGAAGTGAATATGATTTTTAGTAAAATATTTCAGTGCAGGGAGATGATGTGTCTTCACCAGTTTTAGCTGACTGTAGTTGCAAGGAACTGAAACTCATATGGACACTCCACGTTCAGGAAGATCCATAGTTTTGCTTTGCATTTGATGGAGACTTTGTGTGGTCTGTAGGGACACAGGATGTAATATGTGAGCGCAAATTCTTCTATGGAGTTCCAATTATGCAGTTGTCTCCTCATGAAGGGCACTAGGGGGAGCACCTTACTAAATTACATCTTGTGCAGCATACAGAGAACAGCCTGCCTGGTGTCTTTGGCAGCTATTGGCTTTTGATAAATGAAATGGAGGCTTTTGGAAAACAGTCAAACAAGTGGACACATTTATTTTTGTTGTTGAAATCATTTGAAACAGTGGAATCACCAGGGGTACCTTGAAATTATGAAACATCCTAAGGCTAGCTTTATTAAAAGAAATACTATTCAAATGCATATATTAATATTTGTTTGTATCTTCCTCATAGCTAATATTCAGCAATGAATATACTCAAGCAGAAGGTCAAAACTGGCATCTGAAACACTTCTGCTGTTTTGACTGTGATTGCGTTTTGGCTGGGGAGATCTATGTAATGGTGAATGACAAGCCGGTCTGCAAACCCTGCTACGTGAAGAACCATGCTGCGGTAAGATCCTTCCACATGTGTTGGTGCTGTGAAGGAAGGGAATGTACATCTATAGAGCTTGAAACTCTTACTTTCTCCCAGTGTGGGAGTATCTGAAGAGTATAAATTGAATGCAAGTTTAGGCTCAAGTCAATCATCTTTTTCCCCTTTGAAAAAAACCTTAAAAGCAGCCAAGTATTTTGTCAGCTCATAAACTTGAAAAAAGCCATGGGCAGGGGGGAGGCTGTTCTGAAAACACCTTTAACTTTACCAGTGGTGAAGCAGGATTTTGTAACAGGAGAGGTAAAGTAGGTGAAGATGAGTAATGCTGCTAAACGTTTAGTTTGTGTCAATCATAGTTCATGGTGGACAGTGGGATTCAACTTCAGCTGGTCTCCTAAAAGCCTGTATTGCCAACTGCAATCTAGGTACTTTGTTTCTTTGTATTTCTAACCACATGAGTTATAAAGGAGAATGACTGATGGGATAAAGCTAGAAGTTTGGGAAAGGATGGTAGTTCTCAATTCCTAGTTATGCTAGGAACTCTAATCTGATATGACGAGATGTCATTCATATCCACCAATTAACTAGCTATTAGTTGGAAGTTCAGTCTAATGTGCATCTAGACTGTTTATATAGTTAATGGAGGGAAAAACTATTATCTCTAGCTGGCAGTTAATAATCTTCTGAGGTACATTTGAGGAATTATCTTTTGGAGAGGTTTTTTTTTTTCTCTTAAAATATTGAGATTGAAATTATAATTTTTGACAATGAGATTTTAAGATTAATTATATCCAAGATTTTCTAGTAATCTAATTCTTTGGCATTGCTTTTACAGCTGCCAACGTACAGGAAGATTTGTAACTAATCTCTTCAAATGTGTGGGTTAATGTATGAAGATCCATGCTGTTTGGCATAACAAGTTTTTATTATTATTTGGGCATTGGGAAATCCTAACCATCATAACTGTCCAAGTTTAGTCCCAGCAGCAACTAACTCCTTGTGTGCATTTTATTATTTTGTTTTGTGTCCTCAGCTGCATTTCAATCAGAAACTCTGCTTTAAAAATAAAGGAAAATGAAAAGCTGGAGACTTATTTCAAAGGCTTCTTCTAACACCTGTCTGTCTTCTCAAAAAACACTTAAGAATTCCAGCTTCTGTTGGACTTAGACAGGATGTGTATGCTTCATTTAAGTGTCATTTTGTTTCTAAACAGATCTGCCAAGGCTGTCATAATGCTATAGATCCAGAAGTTCAGCGTGTGACATACAACAACTTCAACTGGCATGCTACACAGGAATGCTTCTTGTGTTCCTGTTGCAGCAAGTGTCTAATTGGCCAGAAGTTCATGCCGGTGGAAGGGATGGTCTTTTGCTCAGTGGAATGTAAGAAAAAGATGATGTCTTAGGAGAAGACGTGCACAGAACCAAGCATTGGTGCGTTCCAAAGGCTCTTGCATTTCTACTGTAGAATATATAGTATTGGGGCATTTAAAGTTATTGAAAGTATTAAATAGCATTTTCCCAAAGATTTTTTTTAATGACTAAAACTTGCTATGTAATCTTCATTTCTTAGCTGTAATAATACTTTCTTTTTTGGAATATTGTTCCTGGGTCTAATGTCAAATGACTTCATATCCCAGAAATGTAAGAAAACGTGTTATGAACTACATATACTTCAAGGGAGCTCTTCACTGTGAAGGATCTTTTTGCTGTATCTTGTCAAATGGAAGAAGAAAATGTGAAAATGCTCCAATTTTTCTTGTTTTGTATCATAAATGTAACTCTTCCACTTCTGGTTTCACTAATTTATCATTTTTTATAGTTTCTCTGCTTTCATCAAGCACTTTAGACAAAATGATCAGCTTTACTGCCACATACAGCTTTGTTCACTAGACCTCAAGTATGCAGGGAGAATGAAGTTTAGAAAAAAATATTACCTGTAATCATTTGCTTGTTGTTGACATGTGGGTTCTTGAGGGATGGTGACTACTCTCAGATCTAGTTTATAAAGTAACTCTGCACCAGTAGAAAACTGTGGTGGCTCATGTTTCTCTTTCTTACAACTGTTCATGCCTGGAAAAGTTTTCATTTTATGAGTGTTGAGTTACTTTACAGATTCATTTGGGGCGTGGGGGGAGAGAATATAAGAGGAAGTCTTGCCCAGATTAAAAAAAAAAAAATCCGCCAACATTTAGTGGGTGTCACTCTTATCCTTTCAGAACTGGCTACTGTTTGTTCATGAATGTTCTTTTCATAAATTGTGCCTTTTGTCAGAGGGATGTGGCACACAATACCGTATGCATTTCCAAGAATGTAATTCTGCAAAAGGATCATACTTAGGCTTTTGATTTGTAAGTTCTTAACCAAAGCACAAAGGGGTCTTTCCCAGAAGACTTCCAGGGGGGGGGGGCGGAAATCACAGCTGTGTATTAGCTTTGCTTACAAGATAAACCAAATGTGTGGTTCTCTTTCTTTTTCTTAAGAATTACAGATCTACAGTGAAACTTGTTAGCTGTCTTTGTGCCAAATGGTGAATGGAGAGTCTTTGGCCTTAAAAAAAAAAATCTATGCAAGTCTTATGTTCAGCTCTTAAGTTTTATGGTGGCTGTATTGCAACACTTACAAATAAAAATTTGTGTTGTCTACTAATTCTGTTCTTGTTGAATACCCTTGGGGGGGGGGGGGGCA